CGTAACGTTGGCATGCGAAACCAGGAACACAAGACGTGAGGAGTATCGAAATTGCATTTAGGTTGTTGACTATTGGGCATGTGGTGGATAGTGGCGCAGATCTCTGAAGGACAAATAAATTTTTAGGATCATATATAATGTGACATGATCAGAAAAATTCAAAGCAAACGTTCGTTTTGTCAAATTTATCCAATAAAAAAAAGTTCCCAAACGATTCACCATCTTGTTAATTCCAATTTAAATATGAATGTTAGTATTTATCGTTATAGTAATGAGTTTTAAGAATTTTGCATTACTTGAATGTGTACCAGGTTCGTGACGTAGCAAAAATTCTTTATGCTAGAATTAGAGTCAGCTTTAGGAATTAGAAGGAAGTAGTTTATACAGTAAAATTGCTCAACGTAAAAAACTTTTTTTAGAGCTTATTTTTGAGAAATAAGTAATTTTTTGACAAAATGGACGTTGACCACGAATACGTAAAACAAAATACATCATATGAATCAATTTTCAATAAATCATCGAGATCTTCAAGTGCCTCTTCATAACATTCCAATATACGATGTACATCTGCACGACGAGCCAAGGTTATTCTATCATCGGGAGAAACTTCCAAAGCTTTATTTAAATCTATTAAAGATTGCTCATAGTAACTAAGAGAATAATAATCAATTATATCAACCTCTAGCAAAACATTATTAATTGATTCTATTTCAATTGAATTATTAAAATCGTTGATGGATGCTTCATAATGATTTAACATTTTATATGTGTTTTCACGTTCACTTAAAGAGACTTTATCACCAGGTCTGATTTTTAAGGATTCATTAAAATGATATAAATCAGCTTTGTAATTACACATCATTTGGTTTATGATTCCACAATATCTTTCAGTTCTAAACGAATTCATAAGTTGGTTTGCTTTATTTCTAATGCACTTGTAAATCATCTAAAGATTCTTGATTTCGAACTAAAAGCATAGAAGTTAATCCACAATCATTAATAATCTAACATTATTTGGATCATTTTCTAATAAACTGCTTATGTCTTTGGAACTTATTTATATTAAAATTGGCTTCAATACGACTTAACAACATCTCTTTACTATTTGGCTCAACTTCTAGTTCTTTATTCAAATCTGCGAATGCTTCTTGGTATTTATTCAATTTTAATTAAATTCTTCCATGGATATTTATTGCATTTAAATTATTTGGTTCAATTGCTAATACTTTATTTATATCTAAAAGAGATTCTTCATATCTCTTTGTATCATAGTAAATGCCTGCATGAATGAGTAATAAAGAAATGTAGTCTTGTAAATCTTCTAGTACTTAATTCTTTATTAAACGAATCGAGAAGAATTTCGTAATGTTCAATATCATGACATTGTAAATTAATCGATAACTTCAGTAGAGCTTTCATAATTATTAACAACCTAATTAAAATAATGTTAATACAATAAATAAAATATATTCTTCGATATATTACTAAATTACATATGAATTACCTTGATTTAGAATAATTTCATCAATTTCTCTTGATTTCTGTTCAGTAGACTTCATTTCGGAGTAAGTTTAATCTAAAATTTGTATTTTCGCCTCTGGGTGTTAAATGAAAGTATGTATACTGTAGTTATTATGCATATCTTGTGACTCATACAAAAAGGCCATGTTGAATTAAATATTTACATGTGGCTATCAAGCATAGCATATGGTTAGTCATGTTGGTTAGTGAAATATTGTGTACAGTCATTAAGTACAGCATAGGCGTATATAAAAAAAATATACCAAATTAAAAAAATGCTAGTTTTATATGTATTTGATTACTTTTTAAAAAAACCAATTTTAGATTTTTGAACTTATAATCAAATCAACTTTAAAAATTCTAAACCTGAAATTTTATTTATTTAGAAGTGTTTATTTATGTATTAATACTATTTATATAAAAAAACCTTAAATAAATTAATTTTAGTTATGTAAAAAACCTAAGATTTTGTTTATTTAATTGTTTAAACATATTTTATTGTTATCAAAGGTTTTTTTTAATAATTTTTGTTTAAACTTCAAGTACTAAATTAAATAATTTATTAATATTATTTTTACTAACAATTATTTTTTAAAGTTAACTTTAATTATTAAAAGAATAATTGTCATATATTATCAACTTATAATAAATCAAATTTAGATTATTAAAAATAAAAAAGTATTATTAGATTAAAATTTAAGTATTTGAGTTGAAATAAAAGTTTGCTAAAAAAGTAATTAAATCTGTTGTTACTATTAAATAGAAAAGTTAAACCAATTTTGATTTTAAAAATAGTAAGCAATAATAGAATTATATCTCTTAAATTATAATACAAGCAAATTTGCTTATATCTTTTTTAAAAAAATTAATTTTTTTAATAAAATTTTAATAATTAATTTTAGTATTCTATTTTTTAAATAAAAAATATTTTCAAAAATCTACTTGATTAACTTGTTAAAAAATGTTTTTAAATTAATTAAAAATTTTTAATTAATTAAAGTTTAAAGTTTGTATAGTATTAGAGTTTTTATTAAAATATTTTTTAAGTTTTTTAAAATTTTATATATTTTCAAAGCTCAAAAATTTTTTTTTCTTAAAGTATTAATTTTTATATACAAATTACTGAACTTGTAATAATTAAAATTATAATTTTTAATATTTAAAAATTTTATTATAGATAGACTAAAATATTTTTTTATTAAAATTTTTTTAAAATTGTATATTTTTGATCTATAAGTAAATTAAAATTTTTTCTTATTATTTAAAAATAAATACTGTAAAAAGTAATTCTTATTTTCAAATATTATTATGCTAAATTTTATTTAAATAAATTAGTATTTTAAAAAATAAATTAGAACTAAAAAAGTATAAATTTACAGACAAATTTATTTGTATTAATTAATATTCTAAGAGATAAGATAACTGCATAATATTGTTATATAGTATTAAATATTTTGTTAATATTTTAAAATAGTAATGTTGCAAATTTAAGTATACTTACAATATATATATATATATATATATATTTTTAAAATAATTTATTTGGTCTTTTAACTTTTATTAATAATTTTTTTGGTAAAATAATTCTATAAACTATTAAAAAAAGTATTTACAATTAGTTATATATATAGTTTTTCTATATTACCTATTTAAGAAGTCTACTTAAAGATTCTTTACTAATTGTTATACCTAACACTTCTGCTTAAGTGTTTTATTTTAAACCTCTGAATCTGCACCTGTATTAACATTAACTGGATCAAGGTTAGGTTATTGTTTTAATTTTAGAACTATTTTATCTTCAAAGTAAACCTTCCAAAACCTTCTGTATCTATTTTGTAAAACTAACCTAAGTATTGTTATAGTAGAACCAACACTTGTGATTAGAGTTATATTATTTAACTACTATGTCTTTATAGAGTTTATACAAACTCTAGCATTTGCTTTACAGCATAACCTTAGTACTTTAGTATACTCTGCCTTTTTATCTACCTTTTTACCAAACTCCTAATCCAAATAGCCTATATAGAACTACAACCAGTTTATCAATTTATCAAGTTAGCCTAATATTCTTTTTTTTTAGTTCATTTTAGCAGCTTAGTTAGTAATATCTTCAAGACTCCCAACTTGAAGGTTCTTGTCTATTTGAATATTATAACCAAGTACTGTAATCTTAGTATTCATTTCCTTGAGCTAACCTTTATAGTATAGTCATTAAAGATTTAGCTACCTTTCTACTAGATCTTCCTTAATAGACTTTTTGTTATACAATTTTAATGGATTTATATAGTTATAAAGACTTATCTAGTGTTTGCACTGTCTAATTTGTCAGTTTGCACTCCTCTATATAATCAGTTATACAGATGCCTATGACCTACCAGTTATACTGATATAACTGCTATTACAAGTATTCTAATCCAATTGTTAGTAACAGTTGTTATAATATAAAAATTATATAGATAATTATTCAAATTTTTACTATTAATAAAATTTGAACACTCAACCTACTACTTAGAAGTTAACAACCAGACTACTTTACTAGGTTATTATACTCTTTCTTACAACATATTTAAGAATTATTTAATATTATTAATTTTATTTAAATTCTAATTTTTTTAAAAACTTAAATTATAATACTTTGAATTATAATTACAAAAATAAATATAGTATAAAATAAATAATTATTATTGCTTAATTAGAAATTTTATTTTTATTATTAATATATAAAAAAATATTTAAGAATAGGTTTGTTATCTTAAGACTCTATATTAATATAAATTAGGCTAAAAACAACAATAGTTGTAATAATTTAAAAATACATATAAACTATTATAAAAACTTTTATATCAAAAAAATGAATTTGATAACTAATTGTAATATTGTACTAAATAAATAACATGAAGCAATCATGAAATCTAACTTGAAAGTTTTTGTACTAATTGCTAAAGATGTTATAAAACTTAATTAAAAAGTTTATATATTGTTAAAACAGTCACAAAGCCTCTTTTTATTTACTAAAAAACAGAACTTACTAATTAAAAAAATAATTAAAATACTTTATACAATAGTTTTGATTAAGGAAAAAATAGAAAATAATAAAGTCAGTTTTAATACAAGTTAAAAAATAGTAAAAAAAAAATAATTTATTAACTAATTCAAATTTTTTAAATAATTATTATATTGAATAATAGTATATATTTAAAGTTAAGTTCTTATTATTACTACTAATTTGCACTTTTTTGATTTTAGTATTATTATAAATAGATTGTATATATAATCTTATTTCTTAAATATACTTTTTTATAGTTTAATTAAACCTATTTTTTAAATTATTTCTTTAGCTATTGGCTGTTATATTATTACTACTACTTTTAAACCTTGTATTTCTTATTTATAATTAATATAATATTAATGTTAGTATTTTTTTTTATTATAAACTTCTATATAGGTGTTATTAAAGCTCTAGCTTGATATCTTTAAATATACAGAACAGGTTATATTATCTATACATATAAGTATTTTCTATATTAGAATATTCACAGTGTTAAAGATGTTTCTAATCTTAAAATAATTAATTTTTCATTAAAGATTTTTTTATATTTATTGTTTTTCTTATTACTCTATTTTGTGTTATCTTAGCATTATTTTTTTAAATTAAGTATTCTATAAGTTAAATGCAGATGTTGTTGCTGTCTCAACTCTGAATAACTTTTTTTTTAGCTTTTTGTATAACAAAACCTTTTGTAATACTGCTATTACACATATTATTAATACTTTACAAAATTATTTTCTTTTAAAAATTTTTATTTTAGTTATATACTAGACTTATTCTTTGTTTACAAAACTTTGTATTCTATTACAGGCTTTCTTTTAGATTACAAAAGCTAAATTTTTTTAAATTTTGTTTTCAGCTAAACTTAAACTATTAATTTTAACTATAAGATAATAAGAACTTAATACTAAGCTATAAAATCTATTTTTTTTTTTGAACTTTGGCAATAATTCCAGTTAGTTTATTAGCTTTTAATTTAATATAATACAATTTACAGTTACATTTTTAGGATCAGTTAATACTAGTACTATATACTATCTAATTTTATACTACTGACTTCACCTAGTTTCTTATATGGCATCTAAGTGCATGTTCACTACATGCCTGCATGCAGTTATCTTAACAACTACTTGTAATCAGGTCATACCATTAAACTGCTACACAGACAAGGATATCTATCAAACTTAATACAGTATCCCAAATGCCAGGAGTACTGTTTTCTGTAAATCAGACTTATATGTCCTATTCACATATTTTATCTGGTCTTGTTTCTTTTACCTTTTAATCTAACT